TTACATCTGTCATAGAGTCATGTTCATCATGAATATATTCTGTCGGATAATAAATGGAATATTTATTCTGATGTTCAAGCTTTTAAGTTAAGACATACATTTTTTTAACAATGGAAGAAGTCGTGTTGTAAAATTGTCATTGATTAAAAATAGATTATTTATTTATAAGACTATAAAGTAGTATTAAAGTGAATTAAAGTGAAATCATTCTTCTCATTTATTAAAAGTCAAGGCAATCTATGTCTTTATATTATGTGTAGTCTGTGGGGAAAATGGAAAAAACTAACTTAATGATCAAATAAATATCAATTCATTTGTGTCAGAAATGAAGCAATGAGATGGTCTTATCAAGTATGATATATCTTAAGATATTAAGCTGATATATAAAAGCTTGCTACGGACGTGGTCCTCTTAATTGGCAATTTGAAAATTAAAAACAATATCTTACAGTCAGTATTCAGTTGTTTTGATATATGCAAAAACAGAGATTTAGAACTCAAGAGAAAATAACTTAGAGGTTACTGTTATATCGAAAGGTATGGAAAGCATAACCATGAAATTCCACACAAGACGAATAACCTTTGGCTAAATTACCTGCTTAATATCTAATATTAAATTTTAATTACAAGGCCTAACATAAATTGATAAATTGGATGTGGTGTGCATGTTGCATCGTTTATGTTAATTTTTCAATATAAGATATTTGTTGCAATTGTGTTTGAGGTGTCTACAAGTTATGACAATTTGCACTTTGTAAATGACTATAATAGCAGCATAATATAACAACAATAGTAGGAGGAAGTATGGATACCATGACTTCGGGAAAAACAATTTTTTAAACTACGTGTTTTGATACTAATTAAAACACTGACTTTGATAAATGATTTTGGACTTGGGAGGACACGTTACGCTGCAATAAATGTCTCTACATTTCTTTTTAAATAAACAATCAACAGTGCAAAATTAGAGACGGTACCGGTGAAAAATGTGTACTTCTTTGCCACTTTGTATACTGGCAAGAGAATGGCTTTAGATTTTTTGTTTTCTCTTTTTCCGCCGTTTTTCTGTGAAGCTTGCGTGGAATAAGCGCTAATAGTAAGAGGCGCCACGTGTCAAATTTATTTAATTACGTGTTAATTTGACATGCACTTATTTTAATCAACATGCACTTTTAGAACTTTGGGTCAGCGTTTGGGATGATTTAAAACGTACCTAGCCTGTTTCTTTATTAAGTTTAACGTTTGATTTTTTTCAAAGTTGTATAACTACTGTTTAACAAAAATGATGGTAAACACGATACTGGAAAAAGTAAAAGGCTTTTGCTGTGATGTAAATAAAGTGTTGTTCTGTATATATTTCTTTATTTCATACATGTTATTGAATATTTTTTGTAATGTATTAGTTATATGAAGAATTACTGTTTACTTTAGAGACATTTAAATATTATTATTACGGCATTAAAATGTAGATGTCGGCCATTTACTTGCGGTTTCAGTTCTGTAAATGAACACGTGTTCTTGAAAACTTAGGTGCCATATAATAAAATTGATTGATGTAAACGTGTTTTTGTTGTTGGTTGATTTTATTTTTGTTGTTGCTTTTTGTCGTTGTTTTATTTTCTTCAAAAACTTAAGAACGTAACACTAAAACCTTTGTATGACACTCATTGATTTTACAAATAACAAACCACTCTGATTTGTGAACCAATTCACCACAAAATGTAATATTAGACTGTTTAATTTTTCAATTTATCACAAAAGTAAACTTTAGAGTAATATCTATAAACATATTTCTAAATAAAGATGTTAAATAAGTAATCCAATAAGGAGTTCCTTTCTGTCATAAATTTCCAGTACAATGCTGCTCAAATAGATTACTGATAAAATTTATGACAAAAATAATGTAGTCAATAATGGGGAGTCAATTCTTTAGAACAATATGCCAAGATGCCTTTGTAATAAACGCAATTCTCTCAGTACTGATTTATATTCTCAATGTCTTTGTTGTGATTTTGGATTCAATGTTTTGCATGTTGTGATACCTGTTTCGCATGTGAGAGCTCAATCCGAGCTCTTTTATATTGAAACCAAGACAGTCTTCAATAAAACATGTAAAAAGCACATTTCTTTAAATTCTTTAAATGTTTTATCATTCCGATTACATATCATTTCTCATAATTAAAACATGAAAAGTTATCCTAGTTGAAGAAAGATTTATGATTTTTATATCATTGTAAATATACAGGGTGACAGAACATGTGCTTTAATAAAGATAACTTTTTTATCAAAGTGCAAAATATTTGGCAAAAAGGTAAGGCTGATATACCACCTGTTTATATAAAATTGTCTACCATATGCCGTTTTAATCCAAAGGAATTTTAATGATTGATATCATTTTTTTCTCTTGATGTCTTTTACAACAGGGATATGGTTAACATTAGAGACATTTTAGTAATATATATAAACATCGAAGGATTAAGATGTCTCCTATGATAAATTGAACTAATTTCGTTGACTGTTTCTTTTTTGTTTTGTGGTTGTTTTTTTTTTGGGGGGGGGGGTTATTTACAATCTTTTGAAAGAGTACCTTAGAATTATATACATGTATAATATGAGAAAGTTATATGCCAGACAAATAAAAGGAAGTATCGCTACCTAGTATCTTCAGAAACTAAAAAAATACATTCTCCAGGTTGGCTACTTGCACTTTCAAATCAGAACGGCCATTTTGTTATCTTATACTTATACACTTAAATATTGGTATACATGTACCTATATGAATATGACGTGTGGTATAGAAAACAGTGTTGCACTTTAAAACAGAAATGCATGCAAGTTTATCACTGGCTATACATAATCAAACACATCTTTGTTTATGTGCCGTGCAATCCCCCGCAATCATAACTTTGTTGTACATGCGTGAAGCGCTAATCTTCTCTATAAATATTTCAGCTGGTGGTCTGGTTAAATAATGTATCTGTTTGTGGTTACATTCCTGCTATGTTATCATAGGGAACTGTCTGACCGATGTTTACAAAAGATGCTATGCATATTGCACAACTAAGAAAATGTCTGTTTTAAAACTACACTAAGACCAATAAGGCATTATATACAAACATGTATTATATAACAGCAGTCAAATTATTTGTTCATCTTATATATTGTGACATGTTAAGTTTTCAGTATATATTTCACATTACAAACCCTGAATATACGAACTATGTTTCAGAAAGACATACCCTGAATTTAATAGTGATGTTTCATAATGACATCCACTGATTTCAAAGGTGTGGACAATCACCGAATTTGCAATCCCGTCAAACGTCCAAATGTACATGTGTGTGCCTATGTTGTAAAACATCCGACTTGAAATACTTTCGGAATAATTTAAAGACCGATGTATATTTAGTTTGTTTTTAATTATGTTATAAATGTCATAATGTAATATATCAACAGAGAAGAAAAGAAACTTCTTCTTGATCTATCTTTCCTGGTACATTATTAAAGAAAGTAGTACCTCACATGCAGTAACATTGTGTTCATGAACATTTATGTTCCACTCCAAAGTTACGTAAGCGCCAGTGGAAAGTAAGTCGTCACTAAGTCCTATTGTAAACACTGCCTATTTCACTGAACACGATTCCTTATTGACCTTGTTATGATCTTTCTTTATGAGAGCGCTTTATTTTACTTCGAGGATTACATATGAGGAGTGATTACTTCCCTTGTCGTCGATGTATACTGATAGCCTTATATCAAGATAGTGTCGTTGTAGTCATTATCAATGTTAATTGTTTTCACGCTAAACTATCTTGTAAAATGAAGAAAAGAGCCAGGAAAAGGCAAATATTTTTTCGTGATTCCATCTCACATCTCAAGAAAAACACATTGATCTTGCATTGGTCTGCGTTTAAGAAAAGGAAAATAAATGTTGTGACATCAATATTTGACTGTTTCCTTGCGTTAATATTATCAGTGTCATTCTAAATAATTTCGTTAAAGGCTTTGATAATGTGTTAAAATTTTATCGTTTAGTATAGACACTCGGTAACAAAGGGAAAATAAAGATAAAGTCAGTAACCCGGGCTTTCCTACATGGAGTTTACTCCCTTTTATTTCAAAATTTCTTCCTCTATTAAATAGTAAACAAAATTTTGTAAACCGACAAAATAAAGTTCCTACAAGGTAACTTGAAAGAAGATATACAAAATAGAGAAAATAAGACCCTTGTTTAGCTTCCGTTTAGGTGAAACGAACATTGTAGCCTACCCATGCAATATGAGTTTTATCTAGTTAACATAACAACATATATTCTCAAATCAAATTTTGCTTTTTCTCTTCACTAAGAAAATAAAGGTAAACAATTTGAAGATTTTATGATAACAAAGTTAATGATAATTGCTTTTATATTCATATTACAATTTCAGTCATAATCAGCAAATTGTACTCATAAAGTAATAATCAGAAGGGGGCAGATAGTGATAACAGGTGGGAACGCTTATTTATAGCTTTGATAACAATCAAATATTGCCTAGCAAAGGTAAAAAAGCGTTTTTGTTGAAGAAATTCTCACTGAAGGGCAATGCGTTTCATTTTCGTAAAAGTAAGCAAATAAATCAAATGACGGCTTTTATACGATTTTTATTTATTTTACAATATTTTTAAGTAGAACTTTAATTCATGGACAGAAGTAACTGTGTGGATTGAATTTTCACTTTACAATAACAGGAAATTCCTGTCAAGTTTTTGTATCAATATGAAGTGCTAGTCTATTGATGTCTGTTCTGCAAAGGACATGCTTTGCTGAAATTTATTGCATAATCTTTAATGTTAGACAATTCAACAGCAATAGAAACGGTCTTTTTTGACCCTTTGTTTAAACAGTTTTACTATGGAAAAAACATTCCATACCCCCGCTTTCCACTTCAGAGCAATCGAGCAATAATCAAGAAAACATAAATAAGATGTAAAAAGGTGTGCAATCTTAAACAGCTTCAAGAGTTTATAAGAAAGCTCGCAATATTGTTATACACTATTCAGTTGTGACAATACACAATACAATAAAATTGAAAATATGCACAAAAAAGAAAATATAAGCTCTTCAATGAAAGTCACTATATTGGATGGAAATGAATCTCCTGGAGATGCTAGTGTTGCATACAAGGAATATATTGAAGACTCATATATAACTAAATTAACAACAAAATTTGTTAAACAAGGTCGACGATATGGGGATGAACAGGAAAAAACGAAGATAATTCATTCTCTTATACAGGGTGTCTCAGAAACTGAAGTTGGTCAAAGAAGACAAAAAGGTGAACTAGTTGAACAGGGATTAGACATTGATGTGATCTTGAACAAAGAAGAGAAAATAACAAGGGAAACTTTGAGGGAAATGCGAGATGACATTGTCTTATGGATAAAAAATACCAAAGAAAGTATTAAGTGTCTCCGAGAACTGGCTGACGAAATCGAAGACCTGTTTAAAAGTTGGTTCATTTTTTAAATCATTGTGATCTCCCTGTAAATATAATTTATGTTAACATTGTAAGAAAAATAAAAAAGGCTTGTAAAATGCAGTATGCATTGATAAATTAGTTGATGGTTATATTTCATTGATATATAAAATTGCTTTCTTAACGATATTGCATGTTGTATCAAACAAAGTACAGCACTCGAAATGAAAAAGAAAACATTTAACAACACAATTAAGCATGACTTTTAGATTGTTTTGTCTCAATAAATAATAATGTAAAAGATAATGAACACAAATATGGTTTCACATTTTATACTTTCTACATTTCGTAGCTGTTATTTTCATGTATTTTCTTTCAGAAACGTCTAAGGCTAAAATAGGAGGTTCTGCAGCTTCTATTGCTGGTGGAATTGTAGCTATTGTTGGCTTTGGTCTCTCTTTTGTCACGTTCGGCACATCACTGATTTTAACCATTGCAGGTAAAAAAAACATCAATATTCATATGGTTGTTATCAAATAAACAAAACGATTGGTTTCGTAAAAGAAACAACAACCAGTGACTAGTTTATGTATCTAATAAGTGTGCCTACATATGATTTTATTTCAAATTTATTAAATACATTCTATGCACTGTCAGCGTATGCAGCAAGTGATGTTCCATAAACAAAGATTATTTCATCCATTTTTATCCTTGTTTTTTTTTTCTCAGTTTCGGGCGCCCAATTAAGGGGTAACCCCATTTATTTTCCCCGTCATTGGCATAATAGGGGTCGAGGAGCATCCTCCTATCAGCCTTAAAATAATATAAGTATATATTTGATTTCTTACAAAATAAGAAGCAGTACAGATAATGTGAAAAATATAAGAATTCGCAAAGGTATCATTTACTTGTCCGAAAAACGAAAGGTGCAAGGATGAAAAGCGAGTTAACTCTTTATGAATGAAATCTATAATTCATACAAATTACAAATATTTTAGAAATTCTGTCACAGATGTCACAGAATCGTCTTTATTTCTACACTTGTTGTCAATTCCAGTGTCAACAAAGGCAATATATTGTCCATATTACACCCATGCAGCCTCGTTTTCATTCATTTCAGTCAAAAATATCTTATGCATTTCATACTTCAATCTTTTTAGAGTCAAAAATCCAGATCATTTTTTTAGATGTATTTTTTTTATTTACTTTCACATAAACATATAGGTGGGGTAGTAGCAGGAGCAGGCGGTGTGACAACAGGTGCTGCGTCTGTTGTAAACCTTGTAAAATCGTCAACTAAAACCAAAGCTGCGGAAGAGGCTATAAATAAGTATAACGAGCAATCAGACAAAATAAAAATGAAATGTATCGAACTTTCGCAAGGCATAGAAGACATTGATAGTACAATACCGGAATGGGTACGTTTTTGGGGAAAACTTACACAGGGATGTGCATCTACAGCTGTGAACGCTAGCTGGTCTGTTGTCGGAAAAACCATCATTAACAGTTTGAAGCTTTCGGGAAGTTTAGCGGAAGATGCATCTAACGCCGGCAAGACGTTATTCCGTGTTGCAGGAACGGCTGCACGTGGTGCCCATATCGCTGGGGTGTGGTCGGAATACTTTTACTTCCGATTGACGTGCACACTCTTGTCAGCTCTGCTGTAGATGTTGGAAAAGGAAAAATTCCCGACTCTGCTAAAGCAATAAGGGAGGTAGCTGATAAGATGGAAAAGGGATGTCCTACTATAAAGGAAGTTGATGAAATGACTAAACGTACAATAAATCGACTTTAAAAGCATATCGAAGACAGTTGCTACAAACTACATTCCTGCATGTCTTAAATGTTTACATTTTTGTTAATTCAAATCTAAACTCTAACTCTAAGTGCATGAAAACGACCAAATTCTAATAGTCGTGTAGTCAAGCTTAACAACCCTATTATGTATGGAAATTACGATATGCAATGTAGGCGTAATTATCCGATTCAGTGAGTTAAAGTTTTAAACCTTATCTGCCATGTCACAGTTTGGTCATTTTTGTGACAGATGATTTTTGTTCAGGGAATTATATTATTCTGTTTAGCCACATCTCTTTTCGTCATTATAGTAAGATTAGTTAGAAACAACACTCGGATTAAAATCAGCTCCTAATTAATACTATTACATGTTATAAATAACTTGAGGAGATCTGAACTAGAGTGTTATTGTTAGAAACAATAAACTTTTTCATTTTGCATTTTGCTTTTTCTGAAACAGGTATATGTAATGCATTATTTCTAATAGACTAGCTTTGAAACGCTTGAAACGATTTATATATTTAGTATTGTAGTTGCAATGGCTTACTTTTGCCAGTTGTAAAGAGTTAGACCAGATTTCGTGCAGTGTGAATAGGTCCTGTTTAGTTAAAGATTTCAAAATTATTTTCTAGCAACAAATGCAGTTTCATGTCAAGATCAGCATGTGTTTGCTTACGGTCCTTCTTTGTACGTGTATCATTGAAATGAACTGCTTTAGATATGGCATATATGCATAACAAATGTTTCTCGACCCTTTATCAGTGTATTGTCCGGGGTTGGTCTGGTTGTATTACGCTTGCTTTGGAATAGGATTCGCCTTACACTGTATATATTATGCGGACAATCTTAATATCCTTAAACAGAGTCATGATGTTTACTCCATTTAGGCCGTGTGAAATAGCCAGGGCAGAATATTTCTGTAGAGCCATAACACGAGCAGCGGTCGTGTTCTTTTAGTATCAAAATGATTATGTGTAACATGTATATTATAAAGGTCAGTGAAACGAAACAATATCAGTTGTGAGAAATAATTTTCTTTACGCAAATTCAACATTTATTAATTATGATGCTTTTTAGTATATCTCTTCTTGCTTGACATGTATGTTTGTAGTTATATATTTAATAATCAGAATAAACGATCTTATTCTAAGTCTCTTTATTATTTTGACCAACGCAATGATAAAAAAAGCTATTGAATGAGTAGTTTTTATGTAATTTATCTAAATTTCTGATGTTTATTTTTCGCCAGTTTTTGCAGATATTATGGCTCATAAAAACATACAAATGCGCAAAATAAACAATATAACTGAAATCGATTGTTGAAAGAGTACTCCACCAGGTGAAAACTATTTATGATGCGTTGCTGTTCAATAGTCTAAACAAAATAAAACACACAAAGGTTTATATGACAAACAATATTGTGTGCAAGTATAATATTTTTTATTACAAATGAGCGTGACACATTTATGAGCTTGTTTTTCCTGAGCTTTGTTTAAAGGTTTAATTCCATGTATCAGCGACTTAAAAATTTGTCAGTTGCAAATAAGCTAAGTCCGGGAATGATAATAATAATAATAGCCTTAATTCCAATACCTGTTAATTATCTCATGCAATTATACTCTAATACGACATTGTGCCAGTTATGTTATTTCTACTCTAGTAAAATAATTTACGCTACCTACATTAAATAAAGAGAAGATGACATTTTAATCATTATTTGATCAATAAATTGTTGTCATATCTTAGTGATTTTATTCTTAAAAAATAGCGAATTTACTCCTTACCTTAAGTTTACATTCAATTTCTTTAGGACAAACTAATTTTCTAGGCACAATATTTCTTTGACGGTGCAGATTTTTTACACGTTGTATAGTAGTCCCATATTTCTGTACTAACGTCTTTCTATGTAAGTGTAAAGATAAATTCCAAATGATTTCTGAATATAAATACTATATAATGATGCAAATCTAACAAGATAGATGAAAGCAAGTGAACTGCTACACATTGTTTCCATTTCTAGAGTTACAAACATCCTTGAATTAAGAATTTGGAACATACTAAATTAAGGTTACTAAATTAGGGATTTCAGGATGATATTCTCAATAAAAGGTTAGTGCATTATTGCACAGCCAAATCACTGAATACCTGTTTAAAGAAAAAAAACTAGTAGATTCTAATGTTAAAAGTTTAAGGTGGTACAGCATGGGTGTCACCCCTGGTAATTATATCTAAAAGCAAAGGCGACATAAAAATTTGCGCAGACATGAGACAAGCAAATACAGCAGTAGAACATGATGCATTTACGAATAACTAGAAGAACTTAGTGGAGCCAAATCCTTCACTAAACTAGATGTTAACATGCGATATCATCAGATAGAGCTCTAACAAAATCAAGGGAAAAAACATTTGTAATAAACGATGGTATATATCGTGTCGACGACTTATGTTTAGAATTCCCTGTGCTTCAGAGGTATTCCAACGCATAATACCACATACACTTCGTGAGATACCGAACTGCAAAACTATTTTGTATGATATATTAGTATATGGCACAACAAACTCCACGCTGCCTTAAGTTGTACAACGCCGCCTAAGAGACAAAAACCTAACGCTGAACAAAAATGGATTCTGCAAGACAACTATCACATTTAGTTGTCATACCCTCACTGCAAATGGACTGATACCACATTATAAAAATAAAGATAGTGCTAAATATAATAACCCCCCCCCCCCCCCCAAAAAAAAAAAATGTGATAATTTAAATCTTTCATACAACTTTTAATTTACTGCTTAAATGTTTTCCAAATGTTGCAATAATTTCGGAACCTGTAAGAATATTAACAAGAAAATATATTCCATTTGACTAGAAAGAAAACAACAATTACAAATCACAAACAGCTAGTCAACACTTTCAAGCCAACACACAAACCTCCAGCAAAGAAAGAATGTCTAGAAAGAATGCTATTTAGGCTACAAAATTACAAATTCACTATTGAATTTTAAATCAAGAGCATTAAGCCCTGCTTACATCATTCCACGGTCAAAATCTAGTCAAGAAGAACGTGAGGTATCAAATATCAGATATATTACATGCATAATGTATTTGGAAATTCTTGGCCAATTGCTATGACCTTAGATCAAATTGATAAAGAGTCATCCCGGAACAAATTCATTCAAGAACTTACAAAGTGCATTCAACATGATGAATGGCCGAAACATGAGAATTTCAAGATTTTGTACATTTAACTTTTAGTCCATAATAATATTGTGTTACGAGGAAACATGATTGTAGTACCATAGGGACTTAGGCCAAAAGTATTGCAAATAACACACAAAAGAATATTGAAAGCAAAGAAAAAAGTTCATTTGTCTGGAAATGACCAGCATCATAATTTTTCAACAGGACAATCAGAAACAAATTTCTGATCTTAAAGAAAAAGAAAAAAGGTTAGAAAAGGACTCAGAAATAAACAAATAAACAAATTCGTGAACAGACGGGCAAATATTCGCAGAACAACATATAAACTTGGACAGAAAGTGCTTACTAAATAAATATCGTGGAAAATAAGACTAAAATGGAATAATGAGATATACGTGCATTGATATTGGGTAAACGAAAAATCAAGGGAAACTGAAAGCAGGACACAATGATGATTTGAGAAGACATATCACTCAGATCAGTCCATTTAATCAAACATTTACTGTCAGATAGATTCTCAATTAAAACAAACTGACCATACAAAATGACTACTAAACTAAGAACATTAATGACATGTTACTTAAGATAAAATAGCAATAAAGCAACTTTATCATTCAAAGTTCGAAAAAAAATATTCAGATAAATCAGTATAACATTTTTTCTTAGACTGTTTACAAAGTTTTTAAATTATATTGTTCTGGAAACTTTCTGCGTCTTAGATAAATGACAACTATGCCAGTTTATGTTAATGATTAAAAAATATAATGTTTTCGTTTCAGGGATTTTAAGTTCATGGACTATTCAAAGTATTTGCAAGTTGTTCTTCTAAGAAAAAAATGATTGTAATAATATTCTTCTCCGATGTAATATTCTCGGTTATTGGTCAAATACTATTAGCCACTAGTTGAAAAGCCCTCCCTAAATTCGACTGTTATCCCTTCTTTCTGGTATCATTTATAGATTTAAAAACCGAAAGCGGCGTTACTTTATATCTCATCTCTACCCATTTTGCCCAGCAACTTTAATAAAGCAGACATTACAGAACCTATCAAAATAACTTTGGTATTTCAAATAAGATATTTTTTGTTCCTGAAATTTCTGTCATCCACTCCTAAATGTGATACATCTTCTTTTTCTATTAAAACCACAAAAAGTTGTTAATAGAATGAAACTACATTGTATACAGTTCGTGCTTTACTTTCGGTTATGTTTACAAAAATTGTAGCATACTTATGTATTGTGAGTTTTAATTAACATGATAAAAACTCATATCAAACTAAGGAAATATAGTTCAAAGTTTTGAAGATTCTGTAAAGTCCTATATGGCTCCTTACAACAACATATTAATAGTTGCTTTAATCATTATCAGCAGATTGAACCCGTAAAATAATTAATCAGAGGAAGAGCAGATAGAAATAACGGGGGGTAATGTTTATTTATATCTGCGAAACAAAATTATCAAATGCTGCCCATCAAAGCTAAGCAAATAAAAATGTTGCCGGTAGGGTTTTATTGGACCTGTTTCATGTCAGACTTTTTTATTGAAAGGGCTGTACATTAAATGTCTGGATGTTATTTTTGTTATAACTAAGCAAATAAATCAAATAATCTGATTTTTACGATTTTATTTTCTTGTGGTATTTTAAGTAGACCTATGATTTATGGACAATGGACAAATTACTGTGCGGGATGAATTGTCACATTACAGTAAAAAGAAAAGTTTAACAGTTTTTGAAGAGGTAATCTATTTAAATCTGTCGAGTCACAAAGGTATTACATAATCTTAGATGATCTTGATATAGAACGTAACGCACAATTCATCAGCTATAAATCTCTATTTTCTCTTTATCTACCAATGTTTTAGAAGATTTTGATAATCAGGATTAAAGATTTAAAAATTTAATTATATGTGTCTTTATTCTTTTAATCTTTGACCAAATAAATGATGGCTGAAAACTGTTGAACGAGTATTTTGCTTTTTAACAACTCATTTTGATTACTGTGGTTGATTTTGTAGTATTTGCAGATATCGGGGCTCATAAAAACCATCCAAACGCTCAAAATAAACAATATACATTTCGTCGCCCTATTCTAAAAATGGTGTATCTACAATTTCCTCTTTTTTGGGAAAAAGGGGTTAAAGGTACAAGACGTTGTAACTTTTATTTAATAACTCCTAACAGTGTGGACTTCTGGATTGGTATTATAGATGTCAACATGTGATGAAAGCACTTTGTTATATACCTTTATATTTTGCAGTAATTGTAAAAATTAAAAAAAAAATTTGGAGATAGACCAAAAATGTTTATTTTTAGATTAAAAAATTACTCTAAAAATGAGTTTGCGGAGATATGACAAAGTAAGGCTAAAATTGTAAATACTTTTTGAGTTAGCATTTTTTAAGAGTAATAATTTTACTATAGAATATTAGTAGATTTTTACATTCTAAAGAACATTTTCAGCCAGAGTGGTTGAACCGCTGACACTGAATCACTTTATCTTCGTAAATTACTATGTCAAAGTGTAAATTCATTCACGTGATCTCCAACGTGGGCCTTTCTCGATAATAACAATATAAAATTGTGCCATAAAAAAAGAAAAACAAACATTTTACAAAATTTTTAATCAATGAACTTGCTAAAACAAACTGACATATTTTGAACCATTATGAAAAATGAAATGATTGTAACCATCTCTAATATTGTGATTAAATGATACAGATATAAATTATATTACCATTTCATTTCATTTCATTTTATTGGCAAATCGGCAAATAAACATTACCTTTGGCCATTAACAGAGTATCATGAAAAATATGGCCAAAAGTTAAATAGTTACAAACATTACATCATACAATATATAACAAAAAGAGTACAAGAATGAAACTAATTAAGAAGCAGTTACATCTTCAAGAGACTGTTGCCTCAACTTAAATGCATTATGAACATAGTGAGCACATTTAAGAATAAGCTTTTTGTTATTAGTGGACAATATAGTCGAAAATTTTTGTATAGTAGGCCATGAAATGTTTCCTAAATATTTGGATCTTATAACAGTATAAATTGGACAACATAAAAGGAAGTGGTATTCTGATTCAATAGAGTTATATATACATAGTTTACATTTGCCATCGTTTCTATCAATGTTAAAATGTTACCAATAATTCTTTTTAATTCACACAATTAAAGTCAATACCACATGCATTCAAAGTCTCAAGTATTGTTTGTGGTTTAATATCAACGTATGAAAAAATATCTGCTCAAGTTCTTAACAATCTTTCAAGATTGCAAAATCGTCGTTTTCAAGATTTTACATCCAGTGAATTTTGCGATCTCCCATATTGGTTTTTGTCGCACAACGTAGATACTGGACATTCCATGAACAGGCTAAATCAAACCGAGCCGGCAACATTTTAGATCATGTCGTATTGTGCTTTAAGAATTCTGCTATTATCTAATAAATATAATCATTGATGACCCGGAGAACACTGAAACTCGCATGCAAACTTAAAATCTATGTTTTGACAAGACAGTGGTATTCCGATCCCATTGGAATGTTAAATATCTATTTATTTTGTGAATATTTTAAGACTTAAAACAATGATTTATCTGAAACTGATGGCAAGTCAAAACTTCCCCACAGACTTGATGTTGTTGATATAAAATTCCATAGTTTTGTGGAAGTTCTGCTAACTGCAGTCACAAGTTCTAAGAGACAACATTTCTGTAAGGACAACGTCTGATAATGTAAGTAAGTCTGACCTGAAATGGACAAAATATTATCATTAACAATTAAACAACAACAATGTTCGATACTCCAAATAGTTCCAAATAGTTCATACGAATATCCGAATATAGTTATCCGAAACTATGTGATTGTGAAACTTTGAGAAATATATATAAATTAATGATAATACTATGAAACAAATACTAATACAAAATATAAATTCACTTATAAAACGTATAAAAGCTAAAATATATTACTTACATTTTTATGCTTCAGAAATCATTTTTTAACTGTTACTTTCCTAGTTAGCTGGCTGATTTAGATACGATTGTTGTTGTTATCACTGGAGTTAGAACAATTTTATTGTCAGGCCCCTTCAGGTCACATGACATATATTTTTCAACTTGATTGGCTGGCACGAAAGATTAGCCTAAAAGTGTTACATGTGTTGGAGATACGACGAAAAAAGGCTAACAGCAAAGCTTTCCATTGGACATAGAACAAAATACAGACGCTATATCTACAAAAGTATGACGTAAATCTTCACAAGTTTTGTTTTGGAGATAGAACAAACTAATACTAAAATAAATGTGCAGTTATCTCATTTTTGGTAAAAATGGAGTTAGGACATTTTTAGAATAAGGCGACGATTTGTAGCTGAATTCCGATGGTGAGGGAGCACTTCACTAGGTGCAAACTATTTATGATGTGTTGTTGTTCAATAATCTAGACGAAAAATGCCATAAAGATTTATAAAACAATAAAAATTCTGTGCAAGTTTTACATTTATAATGTATTTATAAAAAAAAGTCAGCGCGACACATTTACGATTTTTTCCTGAGCACTATCTGACGTTATAAATCTTATAAAATGTCAATTGCAAATATCTTAGTCCGTGCATTATAATGTGAAGGCCAATACCAATTGTCTCTTGTTTATTATTTTTTCAATTATACTTTAATAAACGAGATTGTACCAGTCTTGCTTTTTCTGTTTTGAAATTAGTAAGTTAATAAAAAAACATGTGTACGCCAGTCTATGTGATAACTAAAGAACTGAACAAATAAATAATGCTTTAAATGTCGTCTATCTATGTGATATAATTCTACTGCTAATCGAATCTATCCTTTACCATTACATTTCATTCCTTATTAAGGTCAAATTAATTTTCCAGACAAAATATTTCTTTGTGTGTGTATTTGAGTTTTACCCATATGTGCGAGTCCTCAAGCAGAGTATTTTAGTTTTGGGCTGATAGTGAAAGATACAGATAGAGTAAGATATTCCTGGTTCTTTAACGAACCAAGTAAAAGCACTCATATATGACCTCGATCTAAAATCTCATCCGAATTATAAAGTTTGTTTTGAGTAATTTCAGTTGTCCAGCCCGGGAATCGAGTCCACAATGTTGAGATGTCTCGCGCTCTAACCGATTGAGCTACGCGGGCTGGCTATAAAAGATAAAACATTCATAGAAGATTTCTTTGATGCCGCAGGTGTTTTATAAGTAAATACTTACAGGAAACAATACATGTATGAAGGGCACATGAGGTCTTCCTCAACCAGTAAAGCAGGAACGTCGCCATATGACATATGATTTTTTTTTTTTTTATTGTCCTCGTCATATGATGCTGAAGGGTCGAGGGCATCCCAAACAGCATCTTACAATGTCATTTCATGTATAATTATAAACTGTATACAATGACAAGAAACAATAATATAAGATACATGTATATAGGAATGTTACTTAATAGCTATAATACTAAACATAAAAAAAACAACAACAAAAAACAAAACTTGCCCACCTTTGATACATGAACCATTGGTAGAATTTTCTTTGCTAAAAGAAAAATATTTTAAATATAAACTTAATCTGAGGCGCCCTGAAAAATAGTTTTGACCAGTTTCCATTCTTTTTCAAAATCTGATAATGTATTTCTTTTGAAAGCTTTATTTCTGTTTAAATTGTATTGAAATTGAAGAAAAAATTTGAGTCTAGGGAATGTCAAAGTTCCATTTAAAAATCTACTTTGAAAAATGAACTGTTTTATTAATAGTAATGTATTATACAGTGGTATATTGTTTGTTCCTAGGATAGTTTTTCCTTCACAGTATTCCTTTACTATAATTGCTTTTTTTAATTTGGCCGGACCTTGCCATAAGAAATCAAATAAGATTGTATTTATTTTTTTCAACATTGTTACATATCAGGTGACATATGAAAATATCAATAACAACAAAGGTAAAATAAACATGTATTGAGTACACATAGAGTATATGTGTAACGTTTTAAACTCTATACACTACACGTGAACACAGTATAAATCCATGGTGTACTTTCGAAAAAAATGGCAGTTTTTATCTAAATTCAATTGACTAGTAATTGGGAATATAGCTTCCCATACACAGTTCGTGCATTCTATAATTCAAATACATTTGTAGTATATGTATTTTTGTTCAAATTTGGCATGACTATTTATCAATTCAAACATCTTGTTTCTGTTATTTGTACGTTTTATTAGATTACGGCTTAATGAGCAGATGGACCCTCACGAAACGGTTTTAGTGTTGTCTGACCGTAAAAGTATTTTTAGTTGCTTTGGACCTTGCTTGTAGAGCAGACGCTTGCATTTACTCACAAAATAAATTTCTATTTCAATTGAAGTTATTTACTTCCAGAATATCTTTTACTCACGGAAAGTAAGACATGAAACACATACGAATGAATCAAAATAGTATTGTTTTGCTTTTAATGAGAATACCAAAGAATGTCACATATCTTTACAAGCTTTATTTTGAAAAGTAACTTAATTTCGCGACATTGTTTATGTTGAACTGGGTTGAAGGAAATAAGGTCATGTCTTGTAATGGCTACAAACGTTTGATTGTACTATTTTGATACATGTCATTGGTGGTATTTTATTTGGTATTAATAACATAATGAATCAGTCATGTTTAGTGCTTTTTTCCCCTTTTATTTTACGGCCAAATACAGGCCACGGGCTCATATACATGTATGATTCAGTGCAGCATATTCCCCCAACAAAATCAACTTAATTATGATCGCTCGTTTTTTGTTGTTGTTTTTTAACATGAGACATATTTTTCATATTTAAAGCCAGTATAGGTGCAAACGGATCTTGAATTGCATGCAGTGGAAAGTGCCAGTTTACCATACATTGATGATTAATTTTCCTGTCTCGCACCTCAGGGCCTTTTTACCTTCTATAACAGGGGCCGGTATAGGGCTGCTTCATTTACATCAAGTTTTTTCTTCCCCTTTTGCAAATATACCGTGCAATTTTTCCCCAAAATTAAGGGCTGGGCTGCTTCCCCAAACTGAAAAAAAAGCCCTGCACCTGATAATGTAGTCCTATAAATATGACGTCGCTTTGAGATATTTTTTCTTCTGGGCAAAGCAACGTCATATCGAAATTGCTCAAAAACCCATAGCATGTTCCGCCAGAAAATCGGGCGGAACGAAAAAACAATGAAGACAGCGTGTATTTACATAAGTTTTGACCTATTTATGAACAAAACTAAAAAATAAATACCTTTTGTCAAAATAATTAAACTGTCACATCCGAAAAATCATGATTAAATCCTCTCATGTATTTCAATTCTTTTTACAGCCGATAAACAAATGGCGGCCATAAAGTGCGGGAAATCTGATTGGCTAATTCAAATGCAAGCGTTTAACTGAGTCAGAACAATCTAACGGAAAATTTTTTTTTAACGAAATAATTGCCCATGCACCGTCAGTGTGTTCGAATATATTTTTCCGTTCAAAAAATTGGAATCAATCTGTAAAGCACCTTGCTTAACCAGTATGGCTGATAGACAAAAATAGATTGATGTTTATATTTTATTTTAAATTGATAAGTACATTGTTTGAGAGTTTTTGTGTATGATTGAGCATGAAATTGAAAGAAAAGAAGATAAGCTTTTGAATAAAGCTGCTTTTGAATAAAGCTTGAAAGGCAAGACAATAGACATTTTTTTATTTTTTTATGATGCTATGCGTTTTTGAGCAATAACTATTAGACGTCAGACTTGACCGACATAAACTATAACAAGCCTGTAACGTCTAATATATTGGACTACTGATAATGGTACATCAATCAATAATTTACTTGCGCGAAGTGTATAACACCCATGCGAAACAGATACATACTTTGAAAAACATCGTACCTTTACCATTTATTATCTGATTTTGTAATTTTAAAGTTTATTTTGAGGTAAAATATTTTTTTAAGCAAATGTTCTCTTTTTTTTTTTAAATACAACCCATCTATCCACACCAACAGTTAAACAATTTAACAGGACAAAATCCACAGTAAATTTCCATTTTTTTTTTTATTTTTTTTTTTTGCCAATCTGGTACAAAGGGCTAAAAATTCATTAATATTTTTTAAAATAAGTTCAATATGAAATAAGTTGCACATAATAACTTATTCACAAATGATCAAGGATCCAATATTTCAGTTTTATTGAGTTATTTAATCTTATTTATTTAAGCAGAATTGATTACAAATAATATTTTCTAATCACAGAAAATTTGGCAGATACATTTAATTTACTTGGATGTTAAAAATATCTAAGTGTTGTCTTTCTGGAGAAACATCTTACAAGAGTTAATGACATAAACTGAAATGTTGTTGATTCTAGAACTGGTACAAATTAATGGCACCCAACAATATCAGTGTGAAATACATGTAACATCATGGCAGCATTCTGTACATGTGTATATACATGTAGTTACACATATATGTCTGAAGTTCTGTGCAGTCTGGCCAGAATATGAAGTTGGCTGCAAGATACAGCTTTTTGAAATTTATATATATATTAAAAAAAGAGAAATATAGACAGTTCAGTTCAAACTATAAAGCTGGATCCCAAATAGGCCTAGGGCTGTCATTGAATATCGGGATATTCAGCATCCAATACAATATCGATACACATTTTCAAATATCTATACAAGCTAAAATTATTTATTTCTGTTAGTAAATATATACCTCTCAATTTTTCCTAATAAGAGAAGTCACTTTTTTTCCAGTTTTCTCGGCTAACTTGAACTTTAAACTCTGTTTTCAAATGTCAGTGACAAAAATATCAGAAAAAAGAAACTTTCTGTTAGTTTGCAGTATTTGTAGTCTAATACAAGCATGCATGACTCTATGATCCTATTTTATAACACACATTTAAATGTTTTTCATTGTATTTACTGTTAAAGTCGATATATCGTAGATATTTGTCTCTCGATATATCGATATAAAATTGTCCATCAATGACAGCCCTATTCCCATAGCACACATTTTAAGAATAGTTTTAGTTGGATTATGTTTCATCAAATTCATTGCTTGTTTCATCAAATTCATTGCTGCTTTTATCTATGCTTTCAGGAAATGATGTTTGGTTTCCCAGCTGCTCTTTTGAAGCATGGATATATACATGGTGTGAAACATTTCAAAAGATTTGCAAGCACAGTAAGTTATTTATTTAAATTATTTTCATAATAAAGTGAGAATTCACAAATCATTATATGTTTTTCAGTGATATATAATGTACTGAAATGTGGTGTACAGTGAATTATATTTTGATATTTTCAAAGTCATATTATAAAAAAATAACTGATTACTCATTATGAGCTATATTTGACAACAGATGAATTGATTAACTTACATTCCGAACAAATGAAGTAAAATTATTTCAAGCCAGTGCTAATGGGCATAGATGGTAGCTTGCAATTTCCAGTACCGTCCATGAACAGGCTGAATTTGGACCTGAAACATTTTCAATCTTGCCATATTGGATTTTCTTTAGGGATTCCATTTTCCACTTTTTTACATAAACAAATCAGTGTGATATCTTCATTATTATATACTTTTTTCGTATTGCCCAGGTTGTCAGCCTGTATAGACAAATGGAAGCTTTAAATAATTAACTCTATTAATATCATATGGACGAGTAAAGAAATGGCTCTGATAAAAACCGACAAGTAAATCAAAATCAGATTTTGCCGTCCCTGTTGAAATGTTATGTTTTACATGTTTTATAAACATTACAGAATCTGCTTCGAACATGCTTGTATGACTTCCATGTTGAGAATGGAGGTAAAATGGTACCGTTTGCAGGCTGGGAAATGCCAGTACAGTACAAAGACTCGATATCAGATTCTCACAACAATGTTCGCACACAGGCAGGAATATTTGACGTCTCGCACATGCTGCAAACTAAAGTTAGCGGGAAGGATCGCATCCAGGTATTTTCTGTAATTGTGTCAATAGGGATATGTAATTTCTTTGAAATTAAAACAGAATTTTTGTAACTTTTATTTTGTATTACAAACAAAATATGTAAAGTAATGCAAATCAATAAAAGTGAATGTTGCATGCACAAAATCATTGCTAAAACCCTGCTTAAAATAGCAGACTAATATTTTGTTTTTATTTTGTTTACATACAATATTCATGTGTGTTAAATAACAGAGACATCTTATGTTACAACTTTTTGGAGATTCGACCATTAGATTATGGGAGCAATATAATTTTACTGTTTTCATGAATTCTATAAAAAATATTTCATATTTCATATAGCTTTATTCCCTTTAAGTTTAAACTCATAGATGCTTTATTAATCATTTTCATATTTGTATGTACAGTATATGGAGAGCCTTGTAGTAGGGGACATTGCGGGTCTCAAACCTAACCAAGGAACACTGTCCTTGTACACCAACAACACCGGAGGTATTATAGATGATCTGATTATAAGTAACACAGATCAGGGTTACCTATATGTTGTCTCAAATGCTGGATGTGCGGATAAAGATTTGCCGCTGATGATGGTTAGTTTGAGCTTTAATTATTCAAATATTTATATCAAGTTGATTGCCGTTTTCATTGATAATAATTATAGTGATCAAATGTATTAATGGTTTTATGCCTATTTGATATTTACATGAGGTAGAATTTTTAATAAAGCAGTATTTTACACAGAAACAAATGATAAATACATGTGTGTTCATAAGTATTACAAATATAATGACTCGTATATAGACTGAATAATTATGTTTTACTCTTTGCATATTACTATATTAGTTTTCTTCATTGACATTGAAAACTTTAATTGGCTGTTAGAATAGAATCTACATATTTGGTTTCAGAATCAAGCCGAGAATATGAGATGTAAAGGTCTAGATGTGAAAGTGGATGTGATATGTAAAGGATTGTTAGCTCTACAAGGTATGGTTTTAATAATGTCTTATGCCAGCAAAAGTGCCAACAAAATCAGCTAAAAAAATTGAACATGGAATCACTTGATTTTTAGGGAGTGTACCTGTCTGATTTATTGTTTTGGTGTAAAAATGAGTGGGAAAATTACAATGTAATTCTAGAGACATAGGAAAATAAATGAATTAAAAAAACAAAAAAACAAAGCAGAGTAATTCTAAAAACACAGAAATAAGAAATTCTACAAACCAATACAAGTCAGTAGAAAACCAGCAGGATAAGTGTTTTTGCAGTGAAAGTCTCTGTGAAAAATAAAAAAAAAAAATAAACTTCCAGTCTAAAGAACGTGTAAAATCTGTCTAAAAATTATAAAAAGTCTGTCCGAAAAGCGGGAAAAGTATGTCTAAAAAAGATTGGGAAATCAGCCTTTAAAAAAGAGAACTGTCTAGAATCTAAAAGAAATGGAATATCAGTCTAAAAATCAAGTAAAGTAATTTAAACGGATCCAGGAGACAAAGTTTTAAAAACCAAATAAATTTATTTGAAAAGTGATCTAAAAATTCAGTTTAGTATTTGATACTGACTGTCAGCATGCATTTTCTTATATTCCTGGACTAAACAATTAATTATTTTTAGGAGAAGTTTTAAATCTTTAATGACTGAATATCAAACAGTACAGATCATTATCAGATGACATGATCGTTGCCAGTCATAATGGGTAGAATCTGTTGCCACCAGAAGGCAAGTGGTTAATGTACATGTAATAAACGCTTTCATTGCAATATTTATATTTTCAGGTCCAGGTATGGTAAAAGTGTTACAACCAGGTTTAAAATTTGATCTTAGTGAGTTACCATTCATGACGACCAGGTCGGCCACGGTATTTGGTATAGATGATTGTAGAGTAACAAGATGTGGTTACACAGGGGAAGATGGGGTAGAGGTAAGTCAGTGATTTTTCTTACTTAATTGGGAAGAGGCCTTAGTCTGAATTTGGGACTAATTTCCTTAGTCTGAATTTGGGAATAATTATCACTAAAATTGCTGAAATTAGGAAGTAAAAAGTCTGGTGTAAGTTAAGAGTTTTGGGAAACTGCATGATTTTAGAGAAAATTTCAATTGGGAAGAGACCTTTTATAGGTCTCTGTCATATAAGGTAAAAAAACACTGTATGTTGATGTAAAGTTCTTTTGTTGTTTGATGGATAAAACAAAATAGACCTGGCCTCAAGGTTATAGATTTTCTTTTGATGTCTGTCTTGAATCTCTGGATTTTCATTGGTCAGTGTACAATCTGTCCAATTAAATTCCTGAGATCTGAGTTTGAGCATAGAAAGTTTCTTAATAACCTCAGACCCTCTTCTCAACAATAAATTTATTCTAATAGCTTTCATTAGGAATCTGCACTATTCTTCTACTGGACAGTTTTTGACTCATTTATTTTTACTGATTGTTATGGAGAAAAGAAACAGTGAAGTGCAACTGGTTGGTGATATTGATATATTTCTTTGTAATTTTAAACCTTTGTCCTGTTAGTAAATTAAAGTTTGTTGTTTGAGTTTGCCAGAGATGCCAGTATAAAGTTTGTTAAAAAAAATTCTGCAAACTAATCGGACTAAACAGATTTTGAGCCTCTTTGTGTCTGAGGTGTTATCTTTAATGGTTAGGCATCAGAATTGCAGCTACAGTTTATCCCTGCTAATTGAAATAGGTTTGCAAGGGTGATGAACACTCAAGAAGGTCCATTGAATAAAAGTTGCAGATTTAACAGATTGGAGAGTGTGTTTAAAAGCTCATAGCTTCCTACACCATCAAACTAACGAATTCTGTGTAACCAAAATGACAGGTCACGCCTCCTCAAAACAACTGTATTCTTGCAATCTTATTCCCTGTATATTACTCAACATTTATATAGATATCAGTGGCTACAGAGAGAGCCGCAGAACTGGCTCAACATATGTTAAACAGCAAGGATGTGGACTGTAGGCTCACAGGGCTTGGTGCTCGAGACAGTCTCAGGTTGGAAGCAGGTCTTTGTCTCTATGGTAATGATATTGATGAGAACACAACACCTATTGAAGCTACCCTGGCTTGGACAATAGGTAAAACATTTTGTTGCAATTGTTTGTGATTGTGCTCTTACAATATAAGAGAAGGTATTATTTACAAATAATTAGCCTTTGTATAGTTTAGGTGTCAGGATATATCGCAGAGTCAAATTTGTATGTAAATTAATGCATTAATGAAAATACCTTTCAGTAAATAACTAAGCGTGTTCACCTTATGTTTGAGGGGTTGCCTTTAAGGGTTGAGGCATCTAAATTGCAGCCTCCGTTTATCCCTGCATGAACATAAGAAACACTAAATGGTTCCAATTAACTGGAGTCTATGCATCTCTTAGCTCCAACATGACTGTGAGGTGGTTTGGAAACCTGTTGTTGCTTTAAGATTGTAAAACCCAAGGTTAGCTAAAATCATCTTCCTCATGGTTTCTGCGCCATTTAACATAAATTATGTTGTTGTGCCATAAAACTAAACAAAAACAATTTAAGTGTGTGAAAGCAGTTAAGTTATAATTACATTATTAATACATAATGGAAAAACCAAGGAGAGCTTTGTAAAATATTGTTTGAATTCTACAATGCTAGTATCAACTTGCTAAGCTCAATAGAGAGAGAGAGGGCTACAGATTAGTGATCAAGGGGCTGCTGTTTCGTTTCTCGGGCAAGTCGTAATTTTTCTGTGGATCTCATACATTGAGTCTAATGATTATTTGTCACTTTTATCACTGCTGATTCAGAAAGTGTAGGAGTATTTTTTGATCTTTCGGAAGAAATTATGAGTAAGTTCACTGGGAATTTCTTTTAGGTGGATTGACCGTTAAGATATGATAAAAAATGTATTAAAAAGTAGAAAAGCAAACAAATCTAACATGCTAGAAAAAAATTAGCTGCTGAAAAATAAAATGCACTTCATTCTAATTTCAGTTAAGTTGTTATTGTTTTAGTGTATGGTGATTAAATAATAAAATAAATGTGCTCATAACTTAAAATTTTGTGCTAGATAAACTTCTTTGGTGACTAAAGAAAAGCAAATTCTTTTTTGAAATTTCCAGGCAAAATTAAAAGATATGCTGAATAGGATGAGCTTTATATGTACTGATTGAGACTGAATGTGCAACATTATACAGTATGCTTGGCTTGCAATAAAACCCTGCCATACCTTTGTAACAGGTTAAAGTAGTGAATTGATTTGAAATACTGCTAAACTTGTAATAAGAGATCCCTTTTGCAAAAGGCTTAAATTGTTGGTTAATATATCTGTCTCTTGAGACAAAACTTGACTTTTGCATCAATTAAGCAAATTTAGACATATTGACCATGACATCACTGCTGTGGTTACAGGAGTTGTTCAGCTTCATCATTTCCCCTTTTTTTACGTAGAATATTTGCCTTTTCTTAAAAGCTGTTAAAGATATTCACTTCAAACTTGAATAATTTGTTGACTGTCAAGGGCAGGTAAGTCTGCTAACTTAAAGCATGTTTGATGAATTATGTCCTATTTCTATGTTGCTTTTATTTAACTTTATAATCCAGCACTGAGAAAAGTGGATTGCGCTGTCCGTGAACAGGTGTTGTATTTCTTTGTTCTCAAACTTTATTTTGTCTGCTTACTTGTTCTATGACATTTTTAATCTATAACTTACCGGTAATGTTGAGTCTTTATGATGTGCATTTTGCTGATTTTAAATAAACAAGCTTTGTCTGTTTACAAAAATTTATTTAATTAACTGCTGATCAAGACACAGTTATTTCATTTCATTAACACGTTTAAGTGCAGCATATACATTATTGCAGTAGGAGGGTTTTATGAAATTCATTGGATAATATACAGTATTTACTTTATCACATACCCGTGCCGCTTTTGCGACTCCCTAAACATAGTATTGCACATATTTTTTTGATGTGACCTCATTGAGTTATACAAACTGAGCATAAAGACATGCTAAATGTTAGTGTTACATTTTAGGGACATCAATAAAAAGTGATTCTTTTTCGCTTTAAACAGTCTTTATTTTGGGTAATGTTATAAATAGAATATTATATTTGTGTAGATTCATTCCTTAAATTATTGAACTTGTTGAATGAATTAATATTAAGATTGCCAGAGGCTCACATAGAATATAATTTCATTTAACCTACACTCATTTAATACCCTTTATTATTAATTTGCATATATTATCAATTTGAGAATTTTCATTGCTTAGATATTGTTTTTCACAAATGCATTGGGTTATGATGGGTGACACTTTTCTTTGCATAAGGTGATGTTTTTTTCGAAAACACATTGACTTGAAAGGTCAAAGTCACAAATAGCTGATTAATTAGCAGTCACTGATCACAATGATCAGAAATCACAATAATGGTATATTAACAGATACATGGACAGAAACTGGTGATAGATAAATTAATATTTTGTATTTTTATATTTAGATACCAGACATATTTTATTGTAGGAAAGAGAAGGAAAGAGGAGGGAGGTTTTCCTGGTGCTGATATAATTCTTAAACAGATCAAAGACAAACCAAAACAACGAAGAGTTGGCTTTACCTCCTCAGGGCCTCCTGCTAGAGGTAATTTATTTATTATGATTGTTTGTCCTAAATCTTAGCTCTGGCCTTTTCCTAATTATTTTGGGAAAAAGTAAAATTTTGCTTGATTGGGAAGTTATATATTTGGTACATTTTGAAACCTTCTCATGCTCTTTTGGCATAGTGTTTTGAATTTTGCAAAATCATTTATTCCAAACTATGCAAAGACCATTCAATGAATAAAAAAATTAAAATTTGACAATGAAATGTGTGGAAACATCTGCCTGATACCATACTGGAATGAACTCGAGCAAATTTGTCAGTTTTGAAGGCGGGAATTCCAGTTCCCTTCAGATTTTTTTTTTAATTGGGAGAAATAAGCATATTTGCCATTTGATATGGGTGTGGTCATCTGACTTGAAAGAGGTATGAAGCTTCTGATATATGGTGAAAGAAAACAGTTTTCATAATTATCTGTATAGTTTTGGTATAAGTTTAGACCTTGCTTCTAATTTTTTTGTTTTGTTTTATATATCTATCTTCCAACTTACATAATATGTAACCAGTATTAATTTTAGTTTGACTATTCAATGATTAGAATAAGTAGAGCTATTGTAGTCACCCAAGCATCGGCGTCGGCGTAACCACTTTTGTTAAAGTTTTTGTAATACCTCAAATATTTTCAAAGTCCATTGACAATATATATATCTTTAAAACTTTGCACACTTGTTCACCATCATGACCCCAACCTGTAGACAGGAGGAGGTAACTGTATCAAGCATTTTGACTGAATTATGCCTCTTTTTCCTTTTAGAATTTACATTAAAGTTTTTGTAACACCTCAAATATTTATACAGAATTATGCCCCTTTTTCAGCTTTCAATTTTACATTATCAAGGCTCTTTTACTATCAAGCACTAAGAATAGTCGAGGATTGCTGTCCTACCGACAGCTCTTGTTTGAAAACAGTGTGAATGTAACTAGGTGAAAGGTTTGTAGGAAGTATCATTGATTATAACAATCTTACACCTGCTGCCGGTACAGACTGGAATATCTTGCTGAAGAGTAACTGTCAGTTACCTAAGAGCTAGATATTCCTGTTGGTAATGACATCCGGTGATTGATTATTTTTCTTGCATATTAAATATTAATCATATTTCATAAAAAAATTTATGAAAACTGATATTTTCATGTTGCACATTTTTCTTACAGTAGTGTATGAATTTATAACTTTATTCATAATAGCAAACTGACATCATCCTAAGAACGCAATTCATTCATAAAAGACCTATTTAAAGCAAGCAACCTGTCTTACAGTTGGGGTGTAAGACAGGTTTTTCTAGCACTGGTGTAATCGGTGGATAATCCTGTCTGGTATGCAACAAATTTTTGGTATATAATGGCCGAGCAATTGTAGAAGATAAAACTTTGTGGTTAAGGTATCTTAGCTTAAAAGTTGTAGGTTCAAACCCTGCAAACAGACTATAATAATCTACTGTTTAGGCTTAATTCTGGATCTGCCCTGCCTATGCACATGTGTGCTAACTGGTGATGATCTGCGCTGTTCTCTAGTCAGTCAGTACACATTTTGAAACTTTCCCTAAAAATGATGAATGGTTTTGTCTAGACAGAAAGACGGACAAGTCTATTCAAGATATTTAGCGTGGTAAGAGTAATTAAAGTAACAAGTTTGCTATATATTTCCAACTAATAAAGCTTTATTACTTAATTAATACTGATATCATTTCCTTTTCCTCATTTAACTGTCAGCTTCTCTTATTTCTTTTATTACAAATTAATGTTAAATTCAGTACAAAATTAACAATCTATGGAATGTATACATTGATTAAAATGCAAATACAGTTAAGCAATAATTGCCATTTTAAAGTACATAAACTTTTCAATTTTGACTTTTCTGTTCCCCTTGGTATGTGCATGCCATTGTTAGAAGGCACAGGCAAGAACTTGTACCTGTCGACCAACTGCCAATGTCCTGACTGAAGCCAAGGGGAGTGTCCCTACAAAGTACACATAGACGTCAAAGATTAAGGGTGCTAGGATGTGTAAGCCCCTAAGCACTAAGTGACGGCCTGAAAGGCATGAGGCATTTTGCTTGGCACCAATAGCCCTGAAAAGGGATATTCCTGAAAAGGGCTTCATATTGTCCAAGGTTACTGTTAATTTAGATTTTCATCGACCGCTGTAACAGTGCTTTTGACTCAAAATTAATATCTTTGGCTAATACTCTGTGGAAATTGCATTGAGGTAAAATATCACCACTTAACCCTTTAAGGACATGACTAGTGACATGACTGGGGTCTGAACTCGACAGCGAAGTATATCAATGCAAACTATGAAGAAAGTGTCAGTCGAAATTGATGCAAAAGATAGTTGGTGTGGAGGACGACTGTTTCCATGTTAAATTACTTTCAAATAACATTTTCTTAATTTATATCTTTCATTATTTAAAGCCTTAATTAACAGTTACTATAATTACTCAATTTTCAAGGAGCTCATTTACTTTAATAAGAAAGTCTTTGAGAACTTGAATGTTAAGTAACAAAGAACATTTATTGTGGCAAAAAACACAATCTTACCATTTATTTTAATTAAATCACACTCTTCAAAGCAGAATATTCATTATTTATCAGTATCTAACTGTTTTATGGCCATTCACTCTCTTTAATTGTTGGTAATTATTGATTTGGGTGTTTCCGAAAGAAATAAAAAAGGAAGATTAATGTTATTTGTATAGCGTAAATGGTGAAACAATAACAGTAAGTCTTTCTATCCAGGAAATGTTTAATGTTTATATACCTTAACTTTTAAGAAATAATTGTATTTTTTTAAAGGTGTAAAACTGGTTAATTGACCCATAACATGCTAACTATCTGAAAATTAATGAACTTTTCAATTTTTCAATCTGGACATATCCATTAATATTTATTTAGGGACAGCTTCAAAATATTTACTGATTGAATGCAAACAAGTGCAGACCATGATCTGTGCCATATGATATTGGATTGCACTTCCAGGATGTAGGCCAACTTGCTTTTTGTATCATTTCATATCATATAATTAGGCCAAAAAAATAATGTCTTAATAATACAAATTGTTTATACAAATTTATTTTAGTTCAATTGTGTTGGAAGCTATAAGCTTATTGAAACACTCTCGAATCCGTTCCTGGAACCAACCAGTACTAAGCAATGAATGTAAAGTTTCTTGCTCAAGGAAACAACGGCTTGCCCCTGACAGGGTTTGAACCCACGCGGTCAGCAATCCTTAGATTACTAGTCCGACGCGTTAACCACTCGGCCACACCGCCACTATAAGGCCCCCTTATCAGTGCAATGAAAATGTTAAGGCCAGAGGAAGAAAATTTATACATGGTCTATCCTGTTTTCTCGTATTCTCGGGGGGTTAAGGACTAAACTTGGTTGCATAATATTTATAAAACATTCTGTTACAGTATTTTTAGCCTGATACACAGAGAAATACCTTATTAACAAAATACAAAGAAAAAAAGATCGTAACTGTAAGCAAAACTAAAGATATTTCTGTTTGTATATACTGACCTTCACCCTCTATGTGAAGCAGGTGCTTTCTCGTATTCTCGTGGAATTTGATTGGTTGTTAAGGCTGGTCGCTATGTGATGATTTTATTCTACATACCAGTTCAAATCATTAGTGCAACACCTAATTAAGTGTTAAATGGCCTAAATCTGTAATTGTATTGTGTTTTAATAACAGCTTGGCAGGCCATATCAAACTTTAAGGATCATATTGACGCCTCTTTGGTACCAAATGATTTTGATTGTTCCAAAAATAGTTTGAACTCCATTTAGTGTTGTTATTTACATTATCTCTCTAATATATATTAAGTTTACGTTTATTTATTAGTTACTTATTAGTTATATGAACATTAAACAATGAATACTACTGTTTTCCATTGCAGTTGTCGAAAATGAAATGTGTTTAGGACAAACAATGTTTCATTATTGGTTTTTAATTGGAGTTCATATCTTTTTTTATACTATCTATTCGTGGAACAAATATTTTGAGCTGTATTGTATAAATAGTAGTGTGAGACCGTCATTTGAAGCGTCTTGCGTCAGAGACCCGCTACAGGTTTCTGCAACATGGAAAAAACTAGAAAATTGATGATTTTTGGGGGGAAATTGATAAATTTAATGTTTATTCTCTGGATTTTACTATTATTTCCACGGTTATTTTGGTTTTTTTATCTGTTTTTGTTGCATTTCTTTTATTTTTTAATGGAGATGAAAATGCTCTGCTAAATAGACATGTTTTCGGATATCGACGGAAGTCGCGAGCGTCGCTTCCATCCGTTTTAATGATTCCACGAGAATACGAGAAACCCCGAGAATACGAGAAACAGGGATACCAGAAAATCATAAACACACCATTAAATTTTTCTTTTTGGCCTTTGGCAAAACATGTAATTTCATTGGCCTTAAATTTCTTTTTCCCAATAGTGTAATCAATAAAATACATTCTATCTTATATCCTCATCATTAATTAGTTTTTACATAATTCATTAGACTTATAGGTAAATGACACTAACTCACCTTTATATGATACATGTTACAAGTAAGATCTGGTAATTCTACAAGAGATGTAGTCCTAGATAATTATCCCTTATATCACAGTGCTGAGTATCTTAAATTTACTTGTCCACCTTGTCCACATTTGGACAACACCATTCATAATTTTTAGGAGAAAAATTTCTCTTTTTTTTATTTGGTTGGATTTTACATCACACCAACACAGTATAGGTCAATAATAGCGACTTCTAAGCTTTACTGGGGAAAGAAGACCTCACTGGCTCAGGTGCCCAAACAGGTACCTAAGCAGAACCACCAATATTCTGTAAGCTAGCTGGATAGCTCCCTCACTTGAAAGAATCCAAATTTTCTGTTGGGAATCCAAACCCACGGCGGAGAGGGGCAAGTGAAATATGTACTGACTGAATAGCAACCAGTCCATGAACCATAATGTCATATTGTCTGCACTGGTTT